GATTCTTGGCCTGCCCCCCGCCCCCCGCTCCCAAGGAAGCCTAAGAGTTTTAAGCCCAAAGATTGGTGTACCCATGAGCTTCGTTGGCTTGGCATCTCTTCCGAGATGCTGTGAAGCTGGGCTCTCTACATGGCAGTGGATGTGGTATGTGGGTGTGGCTTTGGGAGCTTCTGGCTGTATGGGTGGTGGGAAGAGGCTAACCAGACCCCATCCTAAGAAGACCCCAAAGTGTTTAGCCTGAAAACTGGTGTACCTGGAATTTTTATCAGCTTGGAGTTTCTCTGAGAATAGTTATGAAGCAGTGAAATTGGGCTACTTGTATGCAGTGGCCATTGGGGTGAGTACGGCTGCCAGACTTCATCAGGGCAGGCATTTGGCCCGCCACCCTGCTGAGGGGGCCCAAGTCTGAAGACAAGTATACCTGAGAGTTTATCAGCTTTGCCTGGCGTGTCCTCTAGGATTATTCATGAAGCTGGACCATTTATATAGTGACAGCTGGGGTGAATTCCCTTTTTTATTCATAGTCCCTCATTTCAAATTTTCTACAGCTATTTCGGAAGTTATATACTCTTTTTCTATTCTTGTATTGATTACTGTGGATATTTTTTTGGCTTTTTGGGTCACACCCGGTGATGCACAGGGGTTACTGCTGGCTCTGCACTCAGGAATTATCCCTGGCGGTGCTCAGGGGACCATATGGGATGCTGGGAATCGAACCTGGATTGGCCGCGTGCAAGGCAAACGCCCTACCCGCTGTGCTATTGCTCCAGCCCCCTACTGTGGATATTTTAACATAAATACTTAATAATGTTTATGTAAGGGACAGGCCCAAAATGGACCACCACCAGAATTAATTTAGCTTAGCTTAATAGGAACCTGCATTGCAAAATAACTTGTTTTTCAAGGAACAGGTCTAGATAAGCTTTTTCAGATCCGCTTTATAGGAGCCTGCACTGCAAAATAAGTGGTTTTTCTGCCCCTGACCAAGGAATTCAGATACAGGTACTAGAAGGGTGGGGGTCAGACCAGATAACCGGATGTCTCTCGTAAGACCCATGTTGCAAGACCCAGGACTGCCTTAAAAACCTGTCAGTTCCTAAGGACCGACGCAAAATGCTGATCTTTAAACTATAGGCTAAGAAGTGATGTACCCTTAATTGGATTGGTTAGGAAAGCATATGTTGTTACAAATCTATTGGCTATGAAATGCGCGGGCTTTGCTGTAACGGCCAGTGAAGGCCTATATAAGATCCCCTTTGAAGAGGTTCGGGGTCTTGCCTCACCTAACTGACCTGCGTGTCTGTGTAGGCGGCTTGACCCTGGCTAGCCAGTCTTACAATAAACCTTGCTTGCTGTTTGCAGTCTCTGGAGTCTCTTTGTCGTTAAAGGGAGATCACAATCCGCGCCCTAACAGTTTATAGTTAATTTTTTATTATTCTTCACACCCCATCCCCTATACAAGGATCTTAGGCAGTTTGACTCCCTTCTCTTTTCAGCGATCAAACTAATTTATTGTCATATGTTTTAATAGTCTTTGAAAAGTCCAACAGACGTCATTATGTCTGTTTTTCACAGTTTATATGCATCCATGTGTTTTCCACTTTCTTTGTTTTGATTAATTCTGTGTCTTGCTCCTACTATCTGAGGTCACTAAGCACTTGTTGTCTGAACAATTCCCTTTATAATTTTCTTTATCTGAAATTACTTTACCATGATTCTTTTTGGGGGAGGAGAGTGGAGCACACCCAACAGTGCTCAGGGCTTACTCAGGACTTACTTGCCTCTGTGCTGAGGGATCACTCCTGGTAGGGCTCAGGGAACCATATGGGGTGCTGGGGATGAACCCTGGCAGGGCCACGTGCAAGGCGAGTGCCTTACTTGCTGTACTGTGACTCTGTCCCCTTTTACCATGATTCTTTTTTTTTCTCACTAAAATATTTTATTTTTTAAAATTTTTATTAGCGAAACACCATGAGGTACAGTTGTAGACTTACAAATTTTTGTGCTTGGGGTGGGATGGGGGGGGGGGCGGCGGTGGGAGGGATGCTGGGAGTATACCGTGATTCTTAAAAAGCCTTTTTAACTAGGCATGGATTTCTAGGTTGACCATTTTGTTCTCTCAGCACATTGAACATATCTGCTGTTCTCTGGATGTCTGTTGTTTTGTTAAATCAGTTGTCAGCTTCTCTATTGCTTATTTGAAGGCATCCTGTCTTTCCTTTGGCTGGTTTTTAAACCTTTTATGCTTTGGTTTGTAATTTTAATGTTTTAGCTCCAGTCTGCCACTTTCCCCCCACCCCCCACTGCTTTTTGTTTTTTCCCTTGTGAGGATTCCTTGGTGGAGCTTGGGAAGTTTCTCCTGGCTTCTGCATGGTGGTGCCTGAGGGACCTGTGGTTCTGGGGATCAAGCTCGGGTCTGTTGGGCTTTCTCTCTGTTACTCTGCCTCTTTTTAGGGGTGTCTCCACTTAAGCATATTTTAGACCCTCCATGTTATCCTTCATGGTGTTTAACCTTTCTTTCAGAGTTTTCTCTCTGATACTGTCTGCATATATTTTCCAGCTCTTTCTGTTCACAGATTCTATTAGCACCTGCTTTCAGTTGTCTGCTAAGCCCATTTATTGGGTTTCTAATTATAGTTATTATATTTTTCATTTCTAGAAGTTATATTTAGTTCCTTTTATTATTTTCTTGGTCATTTAAAAAATTCCTTGCTCTTTGCTCATATTTCAATATTGTCTTTACTTTTTAATGAATCTGAGACACAGAATCAGATAAATTATAATCCTTGGTTCATGATAACTGTCATATGAAAATTTATCTCTTATCATGTGTATGGATATATATGTGTACATATTTATAAAAGAATGTGAATACTTCTAATCCCACCATTTAATTCCAGAGCTAGACGAAATGCCTATCTGTTTCTCTCCATCCTATAATTCTGCTTCCCCTCTCCAAATTTATGATAATTCTTTTTCTCTTTACAGTTTTGCCAAATATATTTGTGAATAAAATACTTTGTCCAGTTTTTACTATTTTTGAGCTTTATTTGGAGTATTATGATATATATATATATATATATATATATATATATATATATATAGTCTTCTGGGACTTTAAAAATTGCCACGGTACCAATTAAGATATTCCCAGGTTATTTTTGCATGCTGTAAATAATCTTCCATTAAGTCACTAGTACATGACTCTTTTTTCTTCTGAAAACAGCCTTAAACAAATATTCTTATATCACTCTCTTGCTAGACTCAGACAAAAATTTCCACTGGACCCATAACTAGTGGGATGTTGGGGAAGCAATGTAGGTTAGCAGTCAACCTGCACATACGTTACTTACTGCTAAACATCCAATATGGTTTGTAAGACATCTGTTCTGCTGTCAGTTATCTCTGAAGATTTATAAGTGGCAAACTTAATAACTAGTACAATTTGTTAATTATTTATTTACTTATTTGCTATCTCAAGCCCAGGTGGTCCAGGTTTGAGATGTCAACACTCTTGGCCATTGTTGGTCAACCAGGCTGGAGGTTCAATGTGAGGGCCCAAGGACATGGTGCTGTTTGGGCCTCTAAGTGTCACAGATTATCCGGGGCACTTTGGTGGTGCTTGGGAACCTCCAGGGTTGCATCCATCAATGCTCTAGGGACTGGGCACCAAAGACTGAACCACGGTTGACTGCAAGCAAGGCAAGCACTTAACCTTTTTATACTATTTCTCCAGCCCCATGCATTCTTATTTTAAAATAGTTATTCTAATTTAAACCTCTGCCGGAAATATACCTCTACCAGAATGATCCACATTCTCTTAATACTTTGAATAGTCAGATATCTTATTTTTTTGCCTAACAAGAATAAATGAATGTCATATTTTGGTCTTGATTTAATTTCTCTGGTTAGTCACACGTTTGAACATCTCTTCAAACATATGTTGGCCACTTGCATTAAAAATCCTTTGAAAATTCCCAGCTCAATTATCTTGTTCATATATTTTACTTGTATTTCTGTTTGATTGTCTTTTTCTTGTTGGTTTTAAGTGGTTCATATCAAGAAAATTTAAAACAGCCTAGACATCAATCCCTGGTTAATTATATATATTTCAAATATTTCTTTCCCCCTTTTAACTTTCTTTTTATGGTGGGGTATTTCCTACACCCGCAGTGCTCAGGGAATACCCCTAGTACTGTGCTCCAAGTTCGTCACAGTGGTAATTGGTGGGGGGGAGTGCATGAGGTATTGGGAATCAGACCCAGGCCTTCTGCACACAAAGCATTCATTCTATGCTTCGAACTACCTTGTGGACCTCTTTTTTTACTTTCTGTAAGGTGATTTATAAATAGATATCTTTCACTTTACAGTGTATAGTCAAGTGTATTGAATCTTTTTTATTCTGAATCATGCTTTTTGTATGCTTATTTTACATCATCTTTCATATGTATGGTCAGAAGATATTTACCTATGCTTCTGTAATGTCTAGCCATATGAGATGGTTAATTCTATGCATCAAGGTGAATGGATTATATATATATATATATATATGTATTTGTTTTTGGTATATGTCTGTGAGAGTGTTTTGGGGAGATGAAATCAACCTTTGAGTAAATTATATTACACTCTCCAATGTGAGTAGACCTCGTCCCAGTGAGGTCTGAATAAATAGGTTAAGAAATAATTCTTGCTGCCAGTAGTAACCTCTGAGCATTGCCAGGTGTGACCCAAAAACAAAAAATTAAAAAATAAAAGAAAGAATTCTTTCTCCCTGCCTGACTGTTCTCAAGCTGGAACATTGGTCTTCTCCTGCCTACAGTCTTGGACTCATACTAGAACTTACACCATCTGCTTTTCTGGATCTCAGGATCTTGCACTTGAATTACAACTATGCCAGTGGCCCTCTCTTGTCTCTAGTTTATCTATTGCGACCTCGCCACTTAGCCTCCATAACTCATTGGCAACTCCTTATAGTAAATCTATACATCTCTCTTTAAGTTCCAACATGGATACCCTGGGAGATCACTCTCCCTGGGCACTGTCCAGGTGGCGCAGAGGAGCACAGGGCTCTGTCCTGTGTTGTAAAATCCCTTTCCACACTACTGGAGATCAAACCAGGCCTTGAGTCTGCACCTGCATATTCCTGCAGCTTCTCAGAGACCTCTGAACAATGACTGGGGAGACAATGCAGGAAAACAGTTAAAAAAAACCCAAATGAGTATTTATTGCATTACATAAATTTATTTATTGTAAATATTTAAATATACATGGTTATACTTCTTTAAGCGTATTTTATAAATTATACATGCAAATAGTTATAATCTTATTTTAAATAACATTAAGTATATTTATATATTTAGAATATAGCTCTAAAATAAAATAAATTTTTCCTTCTTTGTCCAACTTCAATTTCATTGTCTAGTATCCCGACTGACACAACTTTTGAAAGTGTGTTGAATTTGGTTTTTGTTTCATTTTGTTTGGGGGCCACACAGGACAGGCTCAGGAGCTCCTCCCAGGTTGGTGGTTGGAGGTCATGCCAGATGGTGATCAGGGGATTATGTGATGCTGGGGATTGAACCTAGGCTCCTACATGCAAAGCATGCTCTCCAGCCCATTCAACTCTCTCCAGTCCTGCATTTGATTTTTAAGTTCTTAACCCAGCTGGAGTTGAATTTGTGCATTATGATATGAAGATAAATGAAGGTATCTGATTATTTTTCTAATTTTATGTTAATTTCCCCTAGTTTCCCTACTTTCTGCCAAGCTGCCTCTATGATATACTCTTTTTTTATTTTTCAGGGTGGGGAGCACACTGGTGGTGCTCAGGGCTTACTCCTGGCTCTGTACTCAGGGATCACTCCTGTTGACTCTGGAGACCATATGGGGTGCTGAGGATCAAACATGGGCGCCTTACCTGTGGTACTATTTCTCTACCCCCTATACATCTAAGTTTTATGTGCAAATCTATCTTTGAGCTTTGTAGGTGATTTTGCTGACTCATTTGTCTCTCCAGATCAGACCACATGATCTTGATGCGTTGCCTTCTTTTTTATGGTATGAGAAATATATATATATATTTAACTAATTAAATTTTTAATTTAAACACTGTGGTTTACAAAGTTGTTCATAATGCAGTTATGTCAGACATTCAGTGTTCCAACATCAATCCCACCTCCAGCGTGACATTCCCTCCACTATCCCAGTTTCTCACCCACCCCTCTTTAGCAGGAACAAAAATATTTTTTCACATGGTAAGACAAAATGGTCAATAAAATTATCAAGAAATAGTTCAGTAAAAGAAAATTTGTGAAAATTGTTGTAAAATCTTACAATGGTGTTATTAAAATCATTGAGTATTTACTATTGCTCATTGAGCCTTCTGTGTTATAGTTTTCATTTATTGAGCTTAGGGGGCTTCCATGTTACTTACCCATCTAAGTTGCTGTGCTCCTACTGGGCTGTCAGTATCTTGGAATTTGGAAGTGTTCCACGGCTGCATATATAGCCATGTGCTCCAGGAGTTATAGAACTGGGACAATTTAGTCAAAAATTATCTGTCCCAAGATGGGTGTACCTGGCACACGTATCAGCTTGGCATCTCTTTTAAGATTAGTTGTGAGGCAGAGAAGCTTGGCTGTTTGTATTCTGGAGGCTGTGGGTTGTGGCTCTGAAACTGCTGGGGCTTGTAGCAGTGTGGGGTGGGGTGGGGAGGCTATCTGCTCCTACTCCAGGAAGGTTCAAGAATTTCAGCCCAGAGATCACTATACATGGGAGTTTCATCAGCTTGGCATCTCTTTTGAGATTTGATGCTATACCTTCTAAATAAGTTCTAATATCTGATAAGGAAAAGCACATCTCTTTATTCTCTTCTCAGAAGTGTTCAGGTCATTAATAAGCTCTCTTAGTACCCAGTTTGAAGTTTTCAATACCATTTTAAATTTTAGAAGCAATGGATCTTTGGGGAAATGGTTATTTTTCAGATCTGGACAGAAAATGTGTAAAATGAGTTGAAATAATTTTTTATGTTGGAAAACAAAGACTTTTCCTTATCTCTGGGGTTGTAAAGGCCACAAGAGTCAACTTGAAGAATCTTGCTTGGATCAAAGATGAGAAAGATAGAGCATAAATAGAATAATAATTTCAATGCATTAACATACATCAAGTCTAAATCCACACATTTGTAATGCTACTAAAAAACCTTTATTAGTCATATTGGGATATACTAGTGAGTCACATTACTAATTTTAATTATTAAATTTTATACTTGAGTTAAATATGGCATATAGTAATATGTATCTTAAATGAATATATCCTAATATGTGCATATAAAGTACAATTGATATGTAGTTTGATGAAAAATTACATGTATATACATTTATATGACTATTTCTCAAAAGGAGTTGGAATAATGATCCTCTAATCTTAATGTGACTATATATACACACTATATATATACTATATGTATAGTATATAGCATATATATAGTATATATAATATATAGTATATATATAGTATGAGCTGGAGCAATAGCACAGCGGTAGGGTGTTTGCCTTGCACGCAGCCAACATGGCCGACCCGAGTTCGAGTCCTCCACTCCTCTCGGAGAGCCCGGCAAGCTACTGAGAGTATCGAGCCCGGACGGCAGAGCCTGGCAAGCTACCTGTGATGTATTCGATATGCCAAAACACAGTAACAACAAAGTCTCCAATGGAGATGTTACTGGGCCCGCTCGAGCAAATCGATGAACAGCGGGAGGATACAGGACAGAATATATAGTATATACATATATATATATATATAGTCAGTTAAGAATTTGTTAAAATGAATGTTCTTACTCAGTGGGTCTATTATGGGACGTCGGATCCCACATTAAAAATTATTGCTGGCTTCTCTGGAAAGAAAGATGGCGGCCACATGGGAGCCTTGTGGACAGCAGGTATGAGCCGGGGGAGTGGGGGCGACTAAAACCTCATGGGTCGGGGGGCGTTCCGGTCCGTCCTTCACGCCCTACCGAGGTCACCAGTTGCCCCCCACGAGCGGCTCTCCAGCACGGCCATGGCCCCAGAAGCACAAGGACTTAATGCAGAACCCAGCAGCTTGGAGCAGAAAAGTGAATGGACTATGCGTTGATCCAGCCCATCAAGTCTGCCGGAGGGGAAAGGGTGTTGCCCCATTCGCCCTCTCCTCTCTGGAAAGAAAGATGGCGGCCACATGGGAGCCTTGTGGACAGCAGGTATGAGCCGGGAGTGTGGGGGCGACTAAAACCTCATGGGAAGGGGGGCGTTTCGCTCCGCCCTTCACGCCCTACCGAGGCCACCAGTTGCCCCCCACGAGCGGCTCTCCAGCACGGCCACGACTCCAGAACACAGAAACCAATTTCTTAACTATCTGACTTTCAGTAGAAATACTTCCAGGGTCAATAAGTAAAATAGCAGAAATCCAAAACCAACATTTAATTCTTGAACCCAGCTGGAGAAAGCAAATCACTTCACAATGCTTTTTCAGCATGTCTGATTTGGGGGGGGGGGTAAACTCTAAATAATAGTGGTGAATCTTTTATTGAAACAATCTAATCAAAGCGGATAGAGTGTTAACTAGAATTCATCTGCCTCACAGGGACGGGGAGGGGTGGGGGGTGGGGTTTTATTGGGGTTCTTCATGGGAAAAAATAAGTATTGGTAAAGGGAAATGTGTTTGATATTTGCATGACTGAGACATAAACCTGAAAGCTTTGTAACCTTTCCCACAGTGATTCAATAAATAAATATAAAAAAAAAAATTATTGCTGGCTATACCACTCCTGGGAATATATCCCAGAGAGGCAAAAATGTATAGTCGAAGTGACATCTGCACTTGTTTGTTCATTGCAGCACTCTTTACAATAATTAAAAAAAAATTATTGCTGGCTTTATCATTATCTTATAATATGGAATGAGGGTTTTAACTTTACCCCTCTATATGTGTATATCTGCATCACACCTACCACTAGAGTTCTAGTGCCCTCCTGTCACCACAACCCCACCCTCCTTACCCATTCTCCAAACTTTCTTTTCCCTTTTTCTCCAGTGGTCCCCATAGTTTGACCAAATTCATTGCTGGCTGCATGCAGGGCAAGTACCATACCCTGCTGTACTATCTCTCCAACCCCAAGTCACTTTTTAAAACTGGAGAACTAAAGTGAACAAGAGTGTTTTTTTTGCTTTTCCTTTATTTATTTTGTTTTTAGCACCTTCTTTTGCTTTAGTTATTCATTTTTATATAACAATTGAAACCATCACTTCTATTCATTATTTCACTTAGCGTTAATTTTGTTTGATATTAGCATAGCTACTCCTTCATTAAAATCTCCAATAGAGACGTTACTGGGCCCGCTCGAGCAAATCGATGAACAATGGGAGGGCCTTTACCTTTACTCCTTCATTACTTTCTTCTCTCATGTTTAGTGGTTTTTATTTTTCTTTTTTATTTTTTGATGGTGAAATGTTTAAATTCTTTCCCATCTCCTTTTGTATGCATTCTAGAGCTATTTCTTTGTGGTTACCATGGAGATTACATTAAAAAATCCTAAAGTTATAACACTCTAATTTGAATTTATACTAGTTTAACTTCAATAGCATACAAAAAACTTTGTTACTTTATATCTCTGTTCCTTCTCCTTTAGGTTATTGATATTACAGAATTACACCTTTAATCTTATGTACCCCAAACAAAATCTAATAAATTTTAAATATTTTTGTCTCCTAAGCTAAAAGAATTAGAGTTTCAAACCAAATTTGCATTAGTTTGTACATTAATAATAATTTTCTTTAACTGTATTCATCTCTGAAATCATGTGAAAAATAAAAAAGTTGTAAACCATTGTTGCAGTAATAATAGTTCGTATAATTTCCCATGTATTTTCCTTTATTGAGATTTTTATTTCTTTATAAAAGTCTAAGTTACTGTCTAGTGTCCTTTAATTTTTGCCTTGAGCATTTTTTGCAGGGCAAGTATTGTGTCAGAAACTCCATTAGCTTTCACTTATTTGAGAATGTCTTAAATTCTTCCTCACTTTTTGGCAATTTTGATATATTAGCTACTGTCTTCTGGTCTTTGAATTTTTCCATGAGAAAACTACTGCTGATCCCTTGCATGTCACAAGTTGTTTTTCTCCTTCCCCTTCCTTCCTTCCTTGCTCCCTCCCACCATCTCTCCCTCC